TTGCAGAGACATCTGAGACCTGCCGCATCGCGGGAGGTGCAAGGGCAAACGGGAGGAGCAGCGCAAAGCTCTGCCTTTGGGTAGCAGTCATCATCTGCACCAGTCGAGGAAGGAAATAATTGGCTTGGCAGCAGCGGAGCAGACAAAAATCTCAGTGAATCACAGGCTCGACGTGAGTCAATGCTGTCACACGGTTGTGAAAAAGGCTCACGTCACAGGAGTCTGTGTAAGGAGTTGCATGCTTTGCAAGGCATCTGAAGTATTCCTCCTGCTCCCGGTGCCGGTAAAGCCACGGCTGGAGCCCTTTCTTTCCCGTTTTGGATGCTGCGTTTCGAGGAAGATGTGGGCCAATAGCAGCGAGTCCGGGGAGAGTGGTCAGAGGGCTGGAAACCGTGAGGACTGAGAAAAGCTTGAAAGGACCCGGGATTGTTTAGTCTAGGAAAGAGAAGCTGAGCAGGGAGGGCAATATGAAAAGCTTTTAAAGACATAAAAGGCTGCTGCGAAAAGTGAGGGAATGAGCTGTTCTTAGTAGCTACTAGGAAGAAGATAAGTCATGGGCTGAGCAAGGAAATTTAATCATTGGGAAAACTTACGCAAGTGAGAGGCTGATGAAGTACCAAAACCTCTAGTGGGTTTGGTGTCGGGGACCCATCAGAGCACCCACCTCTGGGTGGGTGGGAGAAGAGCTCATCCTGCTTTGGCTGGGATGCACCACAAGACCTTTGTAGATCTCTTTTCCTACTGCTTGAAGATTATTTTGTAAAACTGGTGATGGAGTCTGCCTCTTTGAAGGCAGGCATACGTTTCTTGGACTCTGCCCACCTTCATGTTACGAGACAGCAGGGATTACATGTGACAGCGTGCTTTATCATTGGTGTAGCAGCAATTCTCCAAGGTCCTGGTGGGGCTGCAGGCTCGCACTGCAATGGGAGGAAGCCTCGTTGTTAAAGTCAGGAATACAGACCACGTTCGCCCATGGTGGGTGTTGTCCCTGTGTGTGATGGTGCCGGGGGACGCACAGGCACTGTCCTTGTCCTGAAAACACTAGATGGGTGCAAGGAAACTCCCCCTGCCAAGGCAGAGCCCGCCAGCACGCTTATTTGCTGGTTCAGGGGCTGATTGGGGCCGTGCTTTTTAATCATGGAAAGTAAGAGCGTGTCTTTGTGTCCTAAATAGGCGATTGTCTGATTCTTATCCCCGGGATCCATTATGTCTTAGCAAATTACTTTTTCTCCTTTAAATGCCTTAGTGATTAAAGATGCCACAGCAGATACCCTTAATGAGTACAAAAAGGGTAATAATTCCTCTTGTTGGCACTGAATGCAATTAATCAGGCCCCTTTACTTGCTTTTTAAACAGATGAGGCATTTAAGGCCAAGCAAGTTTTTAATTGGACTTTAATGTCTCTCATTTACTTCATTTTGGCACAAGCGTAGGAATTCCCACCCCCAGGTTTTCTGTTGGATTTATTCAGGGTGATGAAAGGCTCAGCACAGAGCGAGGACTCAGCAGCAGACTCGGACGTGTCCTTCAGCCCGCGCGTGGCCCCGGCTCGTCGCCTGGCCCAGGCTTGGTCCTGCTGCGAGCAGCCCGGGATTGTCTGGGCAGGAGCAGCGCCGGGTCAGCCAGCCCAGGGCCCGCCTCCAGCATAGGGCTGACGCCGGATATTAGCGGCGGGTTTGGGGGAGGCCTCCAAACAAGGGCGACGCAATGGTTTGGGAGTAGTCATCAACACAAGGCTGCGACATCGCCTGCCCTGTTTTGTTAGCTTCCCTTGCCTTGAAGGGACCGTTGACTCGCAAGAATTCCTGCGGCTCTCGGAAAGCCCTTGCCGGAGGTCCACGTTCATAACCCACACTGTAGCTTCACACGTGGGGTGGGTTGTATCTTTTAAGAGATAATCCTGAGATCCACAGCTGAGAGGAGATCCAGAGGCCTTGAGCACTGTTACAGATGGGTGTGTGCATGTAGAGGTTGTTCTTTTATGCCAAGAATTCCCATAAGGAGGAAAGATGTGTGACGCCCGACCTCCGCCCAGCCCTCAGCCCCTGCTCCCGCCTCTGCACACCAGCCTC